CCAAAATAATTCTACTTAATATTTTTCCAGGAACTGACAGCAACATAATTCCTCTATAGTTTTCGATCTAGCCTCATAACATGTATATCAGAAAGTTTCCAGGATGTTCTGGGAATTGTGTAGGAAGCGACCATATACCGTATAATTGGTAAGTTGTGTCATATTTCGAAAATCCACGGGAGTTGGATATTTTCATTTCTACGGAGGTTTGGTAAACTCACTGACCCTTCCTAACCAACTTGTGGTAAAAGACAGTTGTTCAGGGGTTTGCTGAAATCGGATGTGTTGTGTCGAAAGGCAAAGATGTCACATCTTAGCTGTAAACCACAACATAATGTGCCAAACGTACTTTAAAGAGCGAACGCAGAAAAAGAAGGTTGTGTTATGTTATCACAATCGACGTCACAGCACACTGTGCATTCCCAAGCGTGCTCAGTCCTCCGATGCTACACCCACTCGAAGGTAACTCTGCTGACTGTTCCCATTAGCAGTTGGTTATAATATCTCCTATCTCGGCCTCGAAGGCAACATAGACGTGCTTCATCATGCTTAACTCACAGTTAACGCCATCGTGTTAGTAACACCGATTCGTCATTATCTACTAGGGTACTTCAATATCGTCATCCTCCATCTCAACGCACAGACAAATGATTAAATATATGGTGGCGACAAATTGTGGTCAAGAAGAGGAAAACATCGATATTCTACACGAGTTAAATATCCAGGAGAACTATATCATAAACAGCATCCTGTCCCGAAAGTTGAAGTATTTTGGCCATATCAAACGTCATGGTGGCTTGTAAAAGACAGTGATGGAGTGTACAGTTTGTGGAAGGCGAGGCAGGTGTTGACATCCGCGAAGATAAATACGTGACATTGCAGATGCACTGGAAATGAAAGCAAATGGCACTGGAAAGCTAGCTAGGGGAATGTATGCTTTCAGGCGTGCCGTAAAGAGAGCGACGTTCTGCGAAGGACTTGCTGAATGATGATGATAAATTGTGAGTTTGCTTGAGTGTTGGGCCTAAATTAGCATTTGTTGGAATTGTAAACCATACAACAAAGCTTCGATTTTTTTAAAGAGCGAAAATAGAAGAATACGGACGGGGAAGAGAAGAAAAAGAAAACGGCGAAGAAGAAGAAGAAGAGAGAGAGAGAGAGAGAGAGAGAGAGAGAGAGAGAGAGAGAGAGAGAGAGAAGAAGAAGAAGAAGAAGAAGAAGATATTCCGAAGAATGTTGTTGTTCTCTTATTCTTGATATCCCAGTAATTACATGAAGAGAAAACTTGTCAGGGGTCTTAACTCCGTGACCCGGAAGTCGAGCCCGGCGTGACCCTGCATGAGCGTGAGTTGTTTACGACGGGGACAGGAAAGATGAGCCGGCTGCTATCTCTCAACTCCTGGCATCAAAATGTCCACACCGGGCGATAGCTGTATCTTATCTGCTCCAGTTTGTGTGAATTAGTATGTTTATTCGAATGGCTGTAGATTCGACATGTGATGGCATGCGTTTTTGTCGCGTATCGACTTAGTTTCGGGTGTTTCTTCTGATAGGGACAGTGATGGTTTCACAAATGGGGATGTCAGTCAGGTGAAAATTGTGGGGGGACGTCAAGCTGGGGGCGTTGGGGATGAAATACGTTTGTGATAAACAATAACAAGCGTTTATTAAAGTGTTTAAAAGGACGAAGACGATAATGGAAACTGTTTTATTTGGAGGAGATATCAGGAAAGGAAGGAATACCTGCCACATTTGTTGTGAGCTGCACTAACAGTTCTCGACCTCTGAACCTGAATTCAAGCAGTCGTCAACTAATGTAATGTTGTAATAAATAAACGTTGAGCAGTACTTATGTACAGGAAATTTATTACAGAAAAAGAAGTAAATTCTAATTAGGTAAATAACAGGAATTTATGAGTCCCACAGGGAAACTTTGGTAAATCTGTTAAAACATGCTGCCCTCTAAAATGGATTCCTTGAATGCACATTTGAATAGTTCAGGCTTGTAAAAATATCCTAATATCTCATTTATTAGAATCAAGTGGACATGTATGGTAACAGTTTTACATGATCCTTATCACCAGCACAGGATTGCAGGTTACACCGGGCTGGTGTTACTGTCACAATGGCCCAGATATCCCTTCTTTGTGGAGGCTAAGCAGAGTATTTGAGATATGCCCTATTAGTCTGCCCTTTAGATTTAGGTTTTGTAGTCTGAGATTGTAGAAGCGTAGTTAGAATACAGCAGGGAACATCTAACAATTCAAAGTAGCATCTGGAGTAAGACAGGGATGTGTCTTACCACCACTCATGTTTATTACCTGCATTGACAGTATAAGCAAGGATGCCAGGACCAGGAACAAAAATAGTAACATCAATGAATTTCTCTTTGCTGATGACCAGGCCTTGATTGTAGATACAGCCATGAATTTGCAACAGCATCTCACATACATGATTGAAGAATGTAAATCAAATAATATGAGAATCACCATAGAAAAGACAGAAGTAATGTCAATAGGAAGAAAGAAGCAGGCTTCAAACATTGCATTAAGCATTCATATATTAGACAGGCATCTGACTTTAAATATCTTGGAACAACATTCACTGAAGATGGTAAAATGGAATAAGAAGTTAACATCCGATGCAGTAAAGCTAGCGAAGTATTGGGACAGCTTGCGTCCCTCTTACAGCATAAAGCAATCCCAATTGACACAAAGAAAAATCTAATACGAAGCATATTTATTCACACCCTATGCTACCAGTGCCAGATGTGGTCACTAACAACAAAACATAAAAGAAAATTGGTTACCATGGAAATGATGTGTCCAAGAAAGACTGTAGGAGTGACCAGAAGAGATAAAATCAGGAATGAGGTCATACAAGATAAGGTCGGCACAGAACCAGTTGTAAATTACATGTAAAGACAGCAAAAAAAAATAATTTGCACATCTGGATAGAATGCAAGAGGAAGACCAAGAACAACATGGGAAGATAACATCATATGGTTGAAGCATCCAGAAGAGCATGAAGCAGGACCTTATATCTCCCTCCACACCCGAACGGTAAAAGAGGAGGTATAGAAGAAGAAGAAGGTCTGAAATTACATTAGTCATCAGCTATAATGGAAAAAAATATTGAGGGAAGAATGGATACAATGTTTATTCGAGGAGATCTAACTTACCTACTTACTTGGAATGTAAAGGTTTGCCAAAGAGCCCTCTGTTAGAAATTAATTATTCATGGAAATAAGTTAAAAATCTAGTCAGTCACAAGCTATCCTCACTGCATATTGAACCATTCAGTTCATTAGTATTTGGGTTGCCCCTTCAGTATAATAATCAGCATGCACGTGCACACACAAACACACACACTCAGACAGTGCCTGATGACACCTGTTCTGTATGTTCATTTGTACGTAGTGTAATGCCTGACGACACCAATTCTGTGCTTATTTATACATAGTGCCTGACGACACCAGTTCTGTGCTCATTTATACATGGTGCCTGATGACACCAGTTCTGTGCTCATTTATACCTAGTGCCTGATGACACCAGTTCTGTGCTCATTTATACATGGTGCCTGATGACACCAGTTCTGTGCTCATTTATACATGGTGCCTGATGACACCAGTTCTGTGCTCATTCATACATAGTGCCTGATGACACCAGTTCTGTGCTCATTCATACATAGTGCCTGATGACACCAGTTCTGTGCTCATTCATACATAGTGCCTGATGACACCAGTTCTGTGCTCATTCATACATAGTGCCTGATGACACCAGTTCTGTGCTCATTTATACATGGTGCCTGACGACACCAGTTCTGTGCTCATTTATACATGGTGCCTGACGACACCAGTTCTGTGCTCATTTATACATAGTGCCTGATGACACAAGTTCTGTGCTCATTTATACCTAGTGCCTGATGACACCAGTTCTGTGCACATTTATACATGGTGCCTGACGACACCAGTTCTGTGCTCATTTATACATGGTGCCTGATGACACCAGTTCTGTGCTCATTTATACATAGTGCCTGATGACACAAGTTCTGTGCTCATTTATACCTAGTGCCTGATGACACCAGTTCTGTGCACATTTATACATGGTGCCTGACGACACCAGTTCTGTGCTCATTTATACATAGTGCCTGATGACACCAGTTCTGTGCTCATTTATACCTAGTGCCTAATGACACCAGTTCTGTGCTCATTTATACATAGTGCCTGAAGACACCAGTTCTGTGCTCATTTATACCTAGTGCCTGATGACACCAGTTCTGTGCTTATTATAATTCTCCCTGCTTTTTTTTTTTTTTTAGCCTCCTGTACAGCACTGTTGTTTGGCTTTACCATCATATCATTGTCTTGCCTTTTTTAATACAAGGAACTGTCCTATTTCTACTTCTTTCTATGAAGGCCAGTGAATATATGTTAATTTGTTTATCATTGCGTTTTGCATATTCTGTTTTGTTGTTCATGATTATATGGTATTATAATGCAGGTTGGTTGTACTTCTTGTTTCAGTTAATATTTGTTCATGGCCTGCTAATGTTCACATTTAAAGAATCATTTGTATGTAACAGCATTTTGAGATTCTAAAAATCGTATCAGCTTGATTTTATATTCCATTTGTGTAATTTTCTCTCAAGAGTTCTGATATACTGCCGAAGAATAATAAGGGTTAATTGTTTCCTTGCAAATTAGAACTATTGACATTATGATGGTAACAACATTGGATATTTAAAATGTAAAAGCACCTGGACAGAATGAAAAAAACAACTCAGTAAAAGTTATACCACAATGAGTAATTGATAATATCAACTCCACATACCGGTTTCGAGCTTTTAAATATTAAAATTAAAAGCAGGACATGACCAGCGGCCACTTTTTTACAGAATGTGGAGAACCAGATTATGCATCATGAAGAGAACAATGTACAGGAATTTATGTTAGTAATGGTGACTTTTGTTGGTTAGAGATTCTGGTCACCAGTTGCATCATGGGGAATAAGAATTCATGCTGCGTGTACCATAGTCCAAAAAACCATAGCAAGAAGGCAGGAGATGCATACATCTCCCAGCGCTCAAGGACGCCAGTTGACGATGAAACTGCCAGTAACCACACACAGCCTTTGAGTACAGGGTCATTGATGGCTGTTTCGCATATTAGTGAACGGGAACCAGAAGGTTAGTTGATCTGTCATTGAGGCTTGTGTGTGTTATCTGTGTGTGTACTGGGAAAGGAAGAGATCTGTCAGTGAGTTTTGTTTGTAAATATGTGTATGTAGAGGGGAAAGCAAATAGCGCAGGTTTGGTAAAAATTATACATACATACATACATACATACATATACATATATATATATATATATATATATATATATATATATATATATATATATATATATATATATATATATATATATATATGTGTGTGTGTGTGTGTGTGTATGTAGAGGGGAAAGCAAATAAAGGAGGCTTGGTAAATCTGTCATTGAGTATTGAATGTATAGCAATTACCTTTCAATATAACAGATTATCTGTTTCAGTTAGAAGTCCTTTATTTGCTTTAATTTAGCTTCTGGCATAAAAGTACTGAACAAAAATTGCCTAGTAAAACCCAGCAGGCAAGAAATACTCTGGCTGGTTCTGCAACTTCATGTAAAAGATGAAAAACTAACTACTTTAGTATGCACCAGCTGAGATACAGCAGAATATGCCAGACAAAAAAATTGTGCAGACTGTTGTTTGTGTCTTCTTTGTTAGTTAGTAGACAGATTATCCTCAAGCAGATGTTACGCTGAATTAAGGTAGTGACATGGAGGTAAATCATGAATAGATGCTGTTGAAAGGCCTGAGCTAAGAGCTGCTGGGCTGTGCCAGCTGTATCTTCATTTCCCTCGGTCTCTGGGGGGCAGCCATCTTGCTTTATGACTCACGACTTTGGCTTGGGACCAGTGATGAAAATTTGTGGCAAGACAAGAATGAATGCCACATCTGTTGAGCTGTTTCATGATGACACCACTTTAATAAACATTTGTACATTTACAATTGCGAGTCATGGTGGCGAACAGGCTAGATGCTTGCATGTTGGCCTGAAGGTCAAGAGTTCAAATCCACATGCAGGCAGATTTTTGTTTTTCAGAATTGACCTTGGCTGCCAGGTTGACCCAGCCGAATATGGGTACAAGGTAGTGTCTAGGGAAGTAAAGGTGGTTAGTTTGATGTTGACCACATCACCCACCAAGTGCTGAATCTTCTATAAAATAAACAAGCCTAGCATGCTGTGTCTCTGATGTGCCACTGGCATGAAAATGTGTTCTTTATACTTGATATTCAGAATTAGGTGTCTATTTATCAGAAAGTGAACTGTTAACATTTTGTGTGTGTGTCGTCTCTGAAGTACTTTATCTCTGAAGCCAAAACATACCACAGTATCTAGTTTGAGAATGGAGGTGGAGACGGTCACTTGAGAACTAGCTGTAACTGACTCACAGAGCATGATGAGAAAGGTGGAAACCAGTATGCTGCATACAGAGTGGCAAGCATCACTTCAGAGGTCCTGGGTAGTTAGCGGCCTTTGGATATTTTCTTCAAGTCATGCTGGTGTGTTAGGAAAGGAACAGGTGAATAGGCTGGCTTCTTCTGCATAACTTGGTTGGGAATTGATGCCTGACAAGTTAGATGTTATAAGGGCCCTCTGAGGGGGGGGGGGGGGGTGAGTGAACAGTGCAGAGGCACAGGTGGATCATTGCGGTTTAGGGAGAATGCTGCCGCAAGGAGGGACCAGGGATCTACCCAAGGCTTGACACTCAGGGAGTAGTGGGGCGGATATACTGGTACCATTGGAATTCAAACTCTGCAATTGCTGTTGGGACAAAGCGCTTATGTGAATATCCTGAATGCTGTGTTGTCACTTCTTAATTGCATAAAAAATTCTGAAGCCAGAAAGCTTGTTTTCTATCACAGACAGTGACAACGATCCGTCAAGCCATCCTGCTGCCAAACCACTGTTTTCCTCAAAAGCTGAAGGGAGAATGAAGAGAAGTAAGTCTTACTTGTTTGTAAGAGAGGTCACTTCCATATTCATGAAAAATGCATTGTTTTCTGTCAAAGTGATCAAGCCATTTGCCTCTTGTAATGAAAGCTGTGAGTTAGATGCTGGATTGTGCCATTCATTTCACTAGTACAGTTTTTGTTGGTGCAGAATAGGGCTTTTTTTGCCTTGCAAAAGGTGCCGGTACTCATCACAAATTTCTGAAAAAGGTTGCCAGTACTCACCACAAAGTGTAAATTACATAAGCCCTGAAAAAGTGATGCCTAAAAAACACAGTTTTGAAATTGCCGGTCCTATCACCTCGAACTCTTTTGACTTGAGAAGCCAGAATGTCTGTTTTGCTGTGTTATGTAAGAAGTTTGTGCCACTCGTGTGCTAATGCTGTCAGTCTTTCACATTTGTACGAAAAGTTACTTGCATATTCTAATAAGAGAAGTCCCCACTGCATGTAACAATTAAATTCATCAAATGCTGTGACAATAAGCCCAGGTTGTAATGTTTTGCCATCCCATATAGTTGTCAGAATTATGAATCAAGTCTTGTCTCACCCCATTCATCTGGTCAAGTCATTTATGTATTTCTCTCTCTACTTTTCAGTCTACACAGCTGGAAAATATGGATAATAAGTTAGCTTTACAAAATGGCAATAAATAAGCAGTGGGTGTTTCGGAAGAAAGCCTTCATAAGTAAACAAGAAAAAGTAACAAAACACACACAAAAAGAAGGAAAGGACACTGAATTGTCTTTCAAGATTCAGAGCTTCTGAGTTAGACACCACATATTTCTTTGAATTATGCTTGCTTATCTTTTCACATATTTGCACAAAATTGTATTTCTAAATGGTGAGTGGGAGGGTTTCTCCGTTTTTGCCTCAAGCTCTGAAGTTTGTGTTCATTTCATTGATGTGTCATTCAAACAAGGCGAACAAATTCTTGAGGCCTCAGAGGTATTGTTTTACAGAAAAATGCTTAGTTCCTTGACAGCCAAAGAAAGTAATCCATGTGTTTTAAAAGAGGTAATAGTTCAGAGAAAACTTATCACAAACATCAGAATGAGCCTAATTTTGTTGGCCTTGTTATGAGAAGAGGGAAATTAGAAAATATTAAGAGTACTGGAAATAATTGTGGAAAGAGAGATAGAGGAAAATGGCATCAAAAAAATTTTTGAACCTTTTATCATTGCATGGAGGGATGTCACACTTGAGCTGATAAATACTTTGGAGATTGCAGGTTGTGGAGAGGCATGATCGCCCATGTCAGTCAACAAGTCACTCGATGATGATAATGTTACTGTTTCTCTCAAAGCACTTGATGGTAAGGTTACTTTTTTTAGATTTGTCTAGCTAATTGAGATTTTTTTTAGCCGATTGGTTTGAATCATATTTACAAAGTTCCTGTGTTGTCCTTGCAGATACCCGGTCCAGACGCAGAAGTCAGGTGATTGTTACAAGTTCTGGGCACAAACACCATGTGAGTAGTTGGTGGTCTTCTTCATCTTCTGTTGTTAGCTTCATGTGGAGTGCAGTATCAACCCTGTCTCCCAGTTCCCTGTGGAGTACAGTATCAACCCTGTCTCCCAGCTTCCTGTGGAGTACAGTATCAACCCTGTCTCCCAGCTTCCTGTGGAGTTCAGTACTAACCCTGTCTCCCAGCTTCCTGTGGAGTTCAGTATTAACCCTGTCTCCCAGCTTCCTGTGGAGTACAGTATCAACCCTGTCTCCCAGCTTCCTGTGGAGTACAGTATCAACCCTGTCTCCCAGCTTCCTGTGGAGTACAGTATCAACCCTGTCTCCCAGCTTCCTGTGGAGTACAGTATTAACCCTGTCTCCCAGCTTCCTGTGGAGTTCAGTATTAACCCCTGTCTCCTAGATAAGCCGCAATAAATAAACTTCCGGTTGGGTCCAGTACAGAATTAGGATAACCCTCATTGATTATATTTACTAGAAATGGCAAGGAAGAGACTAAAGGCTTGTGAATAAATGGCTTTTATTATGTCACATTTTCTATTACCACTAATGGTTACCATTCGATCTGGTTGATGGGTCAAGTATGAGTTACCGTATACATTTTGTTTATGGTCAAAGAGAGGTAAGGCCGTTAATTTTCTGCTGCATTCATGTTTACTGATTACCTTCAGAGGTCCCAGGTAGTTAGCTTCTTCTTCTTCTTCTTCTTCTTGTTCACCGGCTGTGAATTCCTGCAGAAGGTCCCGTTAGTTCGTCCATTTGGACTTTTGGCTTTTACCTGGACCTGAGTTTTGCATGTACATCTGTTTTACTGGCTTATTTGATGGAATGAAATGGTTAAATCATATCCTGTCTTCAGTTGTTCTGTTTTGTTAGTTTATTTGTCTGCTATTGCTACAGCTACTATAACAAACACTGCTACTGCTGCTGCTACTTGAGTTATAACAACTACTACTAATACTACTTTTACTACAATTACTTTACTCTTATTACTGCAAATACTATTACTGTAACAAATACTGTGACTATAATAAATAGGACTACTACAACTATACAGCAAATACTACTACAGCTGCATAACAGTCGCTACTGCAGCCACTTCTCAAACTATACAACTGTTACTACTACTATAAGTCAGTAATAACTACTATACAATAAATATTACTACTGCAATTATACAAATAACCACTAAAAAACCTAAAACAAACCATTGCTAAAATTCTGCAACCACAGATAGATGAGTACGGTCAAATCCGCAAGTTCAGCTCCTGCTCCACTATCTACATTGATGACTCCACAGTGTCCCAGCCCAACCTCAAAAACACCATCAAGACAGTGGCACTGGCCATTTATCTTCACATTCGCAACCGTGCTCCCTGTGATGCCGAGAAGGAGAAGAGACTAGCAGATCTGGAACCCAATGTGCTGCTTATCTTCGACGAAAAACTTCACCCACTTTCGGTACGTTATTGTTGTTTTTGTGGAAGAAAGGTTTAAGTAGTCCTGCAGCAGACTATGTTATTTGACAGTAAAGTACTAGGCTTTCATATTTTATAAGTCACAGGATGTGAGGTGGAGTCACCATTTCTCTTCCTCAACTTTATTCTTCTCTGTAAGTTCCAAGAGAGTTATGGAAATTGGGTAGTACTAATTTTTATGAAACTGGATCAGTCCAGAACCTCAGTGGTCAGAAAAATCATGTTACTGCTGTGGTTCTTCTTCTTCTTTTCATTCGTCCAGGTGATGTAATTGTGTTGTGCCCGTTAACAGCAAAGCTGCAATATTTACGCCTTTCGACCAACACATCAGACTTCATCGAGCATTTGTTGCCCGGGTTAACTTGTGTATTGTACTCTTTGTCCCGCTGTCTACAGGTGTCGCTCCTGGAGAGCCCTTCCAGGGCAACTGTATGTAGACCTATCGACCCTCAAGGAAAGGCAGGGGCATATCATGGGCATTCCCTGCCACCCAAGGAGGCTTTCATAAATACATAGCCGACACATGATGCTCTAGTCCTGGGCTTACTAAGGATTTGTCACATCCTGCACATGACTGCCCAATCTTACATCCGTATGTTGAGTTTTCCACTTGTCACGGATTGCGCCCTATGGAGGTCAACAGGGAGCAGGCCGCAAGTCCATGAATTTGATGACCACACACATGGATATGTTTTCTTCAGCACGCTAAACTGTTTTAACGTTTTTTCACCTGGAGCACTTGGCACGACTATACGGAAAAGCGTGCAACAGGTATGGCTTTCCGTCTTTGGTTCTATCACTCTGGTGAGCAAGGCCATGGGTAACATACATCTGACCCTTTCTGCCAAATAGTAGTACTTTGGAATGTCAGAAATTTAGGACTTTACGGCATGGTACATTTGTCTACGGGACATTTATGCGTATTCAGCTGACTGGCAGTGGTAGATTGTCATGGTGTACCTCAGTGTGATGACAGCGACATTGAGGGTCAATGAAAGGTGCACAGAGTCAGAACTGTGCTGTGAGATACCGCCCACAGAAGATGTTGCTCGTCTGAGCTGAAAGCAAATCTCTTATTCTGGGGCTATGTCTCAGCAGTTTAGTATTTCTTTAATTTGACAGACATTTTAGTCCTTGGTTAACATCTAGTGACATATTTGACTAGCAGGATTCACTCATGGTCCAAATGAGTTTTAATAGATGTTATCATACATGGGGGTGGGCTGATGAGAGCCAGACTAGACACTTCATCTCTGGGGAATACCAACTGCCCATGCCAGCCTAGTTCAGATCACATGATGTGAACTGCTGAGGTGTGCCATGGTATATCTCCTTATACACATCACAGCTGCCTCAACTTTCCCTCACACCTGTGACTGAAATGACTGCCTCACCAACTGGGGTTGAAAGTTGGAGAGACACATCCATTAATCTCAGATCACTATCTCAATAGACAGATGCTTTTAACACCTAACCACTGCCTCGATAGATACAATAACCCACAGATCACTGTCTCGACAGACATGTTAACCAGAGGTTATTGTCTTGACAGACACATTAACCGTAGATCACTGTTTCGACAGACATGTTAACCACGGGTTACTGTCTTGACAGACACATTAACCCACAGATCACTGTCTCGACAGGCACATTAACCCACACATCACTGTCTCGACAGACATGTTAACCACAGGTTACTATCTCAGCAGACACATTAATCCACAGATCACTGTCTTGACAGACACATCAACTCACAGATCACTGTCTCGACAGACATGTTAACCACAGATCACTGTCTCAGCAGACACATTAACCCACAGATCACTGTCTTGACAGACACATCAACTCACAGATCACTGTCTCGACAGACATTAACCGCAGATCACTGTCACGACAGACATGTTAACCACAGGTTACTGTATCAGCAGACACATTAACCGCAGATCACTGTCTCGACAGACACGTTAACCACGGGTTACTGTCTTGACAGACACATTAACCCACAGATCACTGTCTCGACAGACACATTAACCCACAGATCACTGTCTCCACAGACACATTAACCTACAGATCACTGTCTCGACAGACACATTAACCCACAGATCACTGTCTCGACAGACACATTAACCCACAGATCACTGTCTCCACAGACACATTAACCTACAGATCACTGTCACGACAAACACATCAACTCACAGATCACTTTCTCAGCAGACACATTAACCCACAGATCACTGTCTTGACAGACACATTAACCCACAGATCACTGTCTTGACAGACACATCAACCCACAGATCACTGTCTTGACAGACACATCAACCCACAGATCACTGTCTTGACAGACACATCAACTAACAGATTACTGTCTTGACAGACACATCAACCCACAGATCACTGTCTTGACAGACACATCAACCTACAGATCACTGTTTTGACAGACACATCAACCCACACACAGATCACTGTCTTGACAGACACATCAACCCACAGATCAGTCTTAATAGACAGAATAGACAGATGCCTTAACACCAGATTAGCATCTCGACAAACACATTAACAGTTTGAATTAAACAGTCTGTACTCCTTAAGTGATGTGGTCAACATAATTCTGTCTGCCTTTACTTCCTGTGACTTTACCTGGTGCTAATTTAAGACTGGATTGACCTGGGAGCCAAGTTCATTAAAAAAAAATTGGTTTTGTTTGGATTTTAACCCATGGACTTCGCATTTGCAGGTCAGCATCTAGCCGCTACACCACTGTGGCTTCCAAATATTCATAATACTAGTTCTAATTTCCGTTGTCTTCCTAATGAGGAGCAGCTGGCCAGGTGGTTTAGAGTCAGGAGATCCAGGTTTGAATCCTCAGTAAGATGGACTTTTTAACCTGGTGGGGGCTAACATTGACATAACCTGCACAGTCCGCAGCACCTCACTGGCCATATGGCCTCAATCCTCAGGTCTGAGACGCTGCCACCATCTAAAACTCCCTACAACATTTTTAGACCTTTTTATCATGAACTTTGGGTGAATTCTTATCATATTTGTTACTGTGTGCCATTTTATCCAGAAAGATCCGGTCCCGGATGATTACCAGAAGCGGGATCCTGAACATAAGATTGTATATCGATTCATCCGCAACTTGTTTCATGCAGCGCAGCTCACTGCTGAATGTGCAATTGTTGCCTTGGTGAGTGTCTTCTTGTGCACTGGGAGTTAGTGTATCGCTGCTGTTTCTCCTCTTTTGTGTCATGTAAGTCGAAAGTTTGTGATGTGTATGGTTTTGTGTTATGTGTGATGTGTATGGTTTTGTGTTGTGTGATGTGTATGGTTTTGTGTTATGTGTGATGTGTATGGTTTTGTGTTATGTGTGATGTGTATGGTTTTGTGTTATGTGTGATGTGTATGGTTTTGTGTGATGTGTATGGTTTTGTGTTATGTGTGATGTGTATGGTTTTATGTGATGTGTATGGTTTTGTGTTATGTGTGATGTGTATGGTTTTGTGTTATGTGTGATGTGTATGGTTTTGTGTTATGTGTGATGTGTATGGTTTTGTGTTATGTGTGATGTGTATGGTTTTGTGTTATATGTGATGTGTATGGTTTTGTGTTGTGTGTGATGTGTATGGTTTTGTGTGATGTGTATGGTTTTGTGTTATGTGTGATGTGTATGGTTTTGTGTTATGTGTGATGTTTATGGTTTTGTGTTATGTGTGATGTGTATGGTTTTGTGTGATGTGTATGGTTTTGTGTTATGTGTGATGTGTATGGTTTTGTGTTATGTGTGATGTGTATGGTTTTGTGTTATGTGTGATGTGTATGGTTTTGTGTGATGTGTATGGTTTTGTGTTATGTGTGATGTGTATGGTTTTGTGTTATGTGTGATGTGTATGGTTTTGTGTTATGTGTGATGTGTATGGTTTTGTGTTATGTGTGATATGCATGGTGTTGTGTGTGATGTGCATGATTTTGTGTAATGTGTGATCTCCATGGTTTTATGTGTGGTATACATGGTGTTATGTGTGATGTGCATGGTTTTGTGTTATGTGTGATGTGCATGGTTTTGTGTGATGTGCATGGTGTTATGTGGGATGTGCATGGTTTTGTGTTATGTGTGATGTACATGGTGTTATGTGTGATGTGCATGGTTTTGTGTTATGTGTGATGTACATGGTGTTATGTGTGATGTGCATGGTGTTATGTGTGATGTCCATGGTTTTGTGTTATGTGTGATGTTTATAGTGTTATGTGTGATGTGCATGGTTTGTGTTATGTGTGATGTTTATAGTGTTATGTGTGATGTGCAGGGTGTTATGTGTGATGTTTATAGTGTTATGTGTGATGTGCATGGTTTTGTGTTATGTGTGATGTGCATGGTGTTATGTGTGATGTGCATGGTTTTGTGTTATGTGTGATGTGCAGGGTGTTATGTGTGATGTACATAGTGTTATGTGTGATGTGCATGGTGTGATGTGTATGGGTTTGTGTTATATGTGATGTGCATGGTGTTATATGTGATGTGCATGGTGTGATGTGCATTGTTTTGTGTTATGTGTGATGTACATGGTGTTGTGTGTGATGTGCATGGTTTTGTGTTATATGTGATGTACATGGTGTTGTGTGTGATGTGCATGGTTTTGTGTTATATGTAATGTACATGGTGTTATGTGTGATGTACATGGTGTTATATGTGATGTACATGGTGTTATATGTGATGTGTGTGATGTGCATGGTTTTGTGTTATATGTGATGTACATGGTGTTATGTGTGGTGTGCATGGTGTTATGTGTGATGTACATGGTGTTATATGTGATGTGCATGGTGTTTTATGTGATGTGCATGGTGTTATGTGTGATGTACATGGTGTTATGTGTGATGTAGATGGTGTTATATGTGATGTGCATGGTGTTTTATGTGATGTGCATGGTGTTATGTGTGATGTGCATGGTGTTATGTGTGATGTAGATGGTGTTATGTGTGATGTGCATGGTGTTGTGTGTGATGTACATGGTGTTGTGTGTGATGTGCATGGTGTTGTGTGTGATGTGCATGGTGTTGTGTGTGATGTACATGGTGTTATGTGTGATGTGCATGGTTTTGTGTTATATGTGATGTACATGGTGTTATCTGTGATGTACATGGTGTTGTTGTGTGTGATGTGCATGGTTTTTTGTTATATGTGATGTACATGGTGTTATCTGTGATGTACATGGTGTTATGTGAGATGTGTATGGTGTTGTGTATGATGTTTACAGTTTTGTGTTACGTTTGATGTGTGTGCTGTTGTGACCTTTTGGGTTATGTGTGGTGAGTGTGCTGTTGTAACCCATTGGACCATGTGTGATGTGTGTGCTGTTGTGACCCATGTTTCATGTCTGCTAATACTCTCACGTACGCCTTGGTGTCTGATGTGTGTGCTGTTGGTAGCAAGCTGATGTTAACGCCGTGTTGATATTGATCCTTGCAGGTGTACCTGGAGCGGCTGCTGACATATTCAGAGCTGGACATTAATCCTGGCAACTGGAAGCGAATGGTTCTCGGCGCCATTATTCTGGCATCAAAAGTCTGGGACGACCAGGCGGTGTGGAACGTGGACTTCTGCCAGATCCTGAAAGATATCCAAGTGGATGATATGTAAGTTGTGGTGGTAGTGGTAGAATTAGTAGTAGTAAGGCGTTGGAAGTAATAGTAAAGAAGCAGTGATAATATAGTAGTGGTGGTAGAGGTGTAAGTTCTGGTAGTTTTCTTCTGCTTCTTCTTTTGATCTCCTGCTGTGTTACCCAGAAAATAAAACAGGGTCTTATATTGATATTTGCTTAAAATTGAACTAGTGCTTTTTTTTATTGGGGTGGGGGGGGGGGGGCGGGGGTGTCTTATGCCGATAGTACCACAGAAGACATAAACTCCACAGCTTCAGCGGTGATTCCTGATGATCCCATGAAAATTGCACACATGAACTAGATACCACAGTCGTTGAAACAGACTTCAGATCATTCCAATAAGCTGGATGAGAAACTTGTTGAGCAAACATAAAAATATCATTACTAGAAAGTCTTTTCTATGGTACCCATTGACAAAAGAAATAAGGGGGGAAAGGAAGAACACATTTTGAGACAGAAATGATTTTATCAGGACATTAAGAGAGCTGCAGGAGATACTGGAAAAAAGATGTATTGGTGTGATGTAGTTGAAAGCCTGTGCTTCAGCTGGAAGTATAAGGCATGGGGAGAAGGGAAAGAAGCTTCATTGAGAGTGTATAGTGTCTTTAGTAGGCTTCTTCTACCCTAGGTTATGAATTATTACGAATTCCCCGAGTATAAGATGATCCCACGTATACGACACACCTTGATTTTGGGACAGGAAATTTGTAAACCAAAAAAATTTGACTAGATAGAATCTACTGCTATTGTATAAGACCTACATTGATTTTGGACCCTACATTATTGGAAAAAGGTGTGTTTTATACTTGGGGACATAGGGTATATCCAATCAATCACATCCATACATTTTAATCCACAGATTTGTGTACATGTGTAACATTGTTCTCAACAAACTATCAGATAATATTTCTAAAGTTACTATTTTTTTATTATTGAAGAAAACGGCACTGTTAGCCCATCGATTTTCTCGTTATAGAGAATACTGCACTGTTTCCAGAATGAACATCCAGACTAACAATAATTTGTCTACTTCTTCTTGTTTCATTGACATAATCACTACTTTAGCCACATCAGCCGTCTTTAGCGAATATACAGATCATAGATTTTATTGGGAGCCATAGTGAGGGTTAATTTAATGCACACCAAAAAAATTTAGGGGAGGGGGGGATTTGTATTATGAACAGTGCAATGATAAACATTGTATACAGCCCGCAAACCTGAGTATAACCGATTCTGTTCACGGGACGAAAACATGGCATCAGTGCTGTTTGTATGTCCGGGTGCTGAGGAGTTGTTCACAAGACCATTCAAAGTTTATTTAGAAATTGTGTTCATGAACTGATTTCTTTATGTTGAGAGGCTTTTGTGGCCCGAGGTGCCACTGTATACGGAAGAATGAATAATTAAACAGGCCAGTCGCCTTCTGTCAAATTTGTATTTATGCAGCATTTAGGTTAATACCGCTCATTCTGTGGCGTGGTGTGAAATTCTGCAGGTCGCGGTAAATCATGTGCCCTAATTATGAGATCAACCTCAAGCTAGCTAACCACCATACTGTGGCAAAATTAACAGACTGTATTTAGCTGTGTTGTCACTCCTTGTCTGTTTTCCCTGTTGCTTCAAATGTCACTCCTTGTCTGTTTTCCCTGTTGCTTCAAATGTCACTCCTTGTCTGTTTTCCCTGTTGCTTCAAATGTCACTCCTTGTCTGTTTTCCCTGTTGCTTCAAAGGTCACTCTTTGTCTGTGTTTCCTATTGCGTCAAATGTCACTCCTTGTCTGTTTTCCCTGTTGCTTCAAAGGTCACTCCTTGTCTGTTTTCCCTGTTGCTTCAAATGTCACTCCTTGTCTGTTTTCCCTGTTGCTTCAAATGTCACTCCTTGTCTGTTTTCCCTGTTGCTTCAAAGGTCACTCTTTGTCTGTGTTTCCTATTGCGTCAAATGTCACTCCTTGTCTGTTTTCCCTGTTGCTTCAAAGGTCACTCTTTGTCTGTTTTCCCTGTTGCTTCAAAGGTCACTCCTTGTCTGTTTTCCCTGTTGCTTCAAAGGTCACTCCTTGTCTGTTTTCCCTGTTGCTTCAAAGGTCACTCCTTGTCTGTTTTCCCTGTTGCTTCAAAGGTCACTCTTTGTCTGTGTTTCCTGTTGCTTCAAAGGTCACTCTTTGTCTGTGTTTCCTATTGCGTCAAATGTCACTCCTTGTAAATCAGAGGCACATCTTCAGTCCAACTTACTTGTCTGGAAGGAAGAGCTTGAAAATGAGAGGATGACCATCATTATCTCCAAAACTAAAACCATGGTGATCTCAAGAGAGGAGAAGAAACACCAGATCATGATGGGACAGTATGCATTGGAGCAGGTTAACCAGTTCAAATACCTTGGAGTTGTAATAGACCGAAACGGAGGCATTAAGACTGAGCTGGCTACACGAAAAGCAGCTGCTGGGAGACTCTTCCAGGCTATAAACCGAGGATTTCTTAGCAAAAGATAAATTGGCAAGAGGACGAAAATGGCTGTTGACCGCTCTACCTATGTACCAGTCCTGACCTATGGGTGTGAGTCATGGGCAATGACAACAGCTTACAGAAGCCAGCTGCAGGCATCGGAAATGAGATATCTGAGAAAGGTGGTCCAAGTGACAAGAAGGGACAAAGTCAGCAATCAGACAGTGCGTCAAGATCTTGATACCCAGTCCTTACAAACCCGAGTGGATCAGTCACAGTTACGATGGTTTGGACATGTGTGCAGAATGGGAGAAAATCGGCCACCATGGCAGGCATGGGAGGCTAAGAACCAGGGAACCAGACCTCCAGGGCGGCCCAGGGTCCGCTGGGAAGACAACATCCGACAATCTCAAACTGACAGAGGACTGAAATGGAACAAAGCCAGAAATAAAACTGCTGATAGAGACGTCTGGCGATCTCTCTAGCAAACTTTACACACCAAGGTAGAAGAGGAGCGACTAAGTAAGAAAGTAAGTAAGTCACTCCTTGTCTGTTTTTCCTGTTGCTTCAAATGTCACTCCTGTCTGTTTTCCTGTTGCTTCAAATGTCACTCCTTGTCTGTTTTCCCTGTTGCTTCAACAGGAATGAGCTGGAGAGACATGTTCTGGAGTTGCTGCAGTTCAACATCAATGTGCCATCGAGCGTCTACGCAAAGTATTACTTTGATCTCCGGGCCCTGGCTGATTCTCATGACATCATTCATCGTCGTGACCCGCTGGACAAGGAGAGGGCTCTAAAGCTAGAGGTTAGGCTTGTGCAGTTGTGGAGTTGTTTAGCCATAAATATTGGAACCTTTTTGGGAGTTTGGCTTGTGTGTTTGGGGAAATAGATTTTAGAGGTTTGGTTTATGTGTTTTAGATATTGGTTAAGCTTGTGTGTTTTTGTGGGATTGCTATTAGAGGTTTGACTTGTGTGTTTATGGGATTGAACAGCAATCTGAGATCATGTACAACTAAGACAAGAGACTTTCATGTTGGAGATCCATTGCAGCCAACTTTCATTGTAGAAACAGCAGCTGATTGATGAGCACTCAATGGATAACATTGTGAACATAAATCTGACTGCCTTGACTTCCCAGGACATTACCTTGTATCCATTTCTTCTTTGCATTTACCAGCTGCAACCTCCAGTGGGAATTAATGGTTGCTTGTCCATGTCTGGACTTTGGTTTCACTCCAGAACCTGAGTTGTGCATGAACATCTGTTGTACAAATCTGTTTTATTTATATGCTGACTGTTGGTCCCTTTGTTCTCAGGCAGATGCACTCCAACTTTGAAGGAAACACACCTTAGTAGCTTTTTATGACTAAGACTGGTTATGGAGGTAGCGGGTCTGTGTTTTTTTCTCTCCTCAAAATGGGCAGCCAATGTCAGTTATAAATTTAAAAAAATGTCAATACAGATTTGAACCCTAGCCCTTCAACTAGCAGATGTTTGTCTAGCCAGTATGCTACTGGAGCTTTGGACATATGGTGCTAGCTCCGTATTTCTGTAGGCTTAACAGCAGTCAGTCAGTGATGTGGTTACTAACCTGCTAGTGCCAGGTCTTTTCCTGATAATCATTTTTAGGCTAAGTTGACGTATAAGCCCAAGTCAATTAAAAATCCCCCCCTCCCCCATGTGGATTCCATGGTCACATTTTAGGGTTGGGGCGGGGGGCTGGGGTGGAGAAAGAATAGACCTGCTGCCCCCTTAACAAGCATGTCATAAAAGGAATCTAGTTAGGGTTTGCTGAAATCAGATGTGTTGGGCAGAAAGGGGCAGATATCAGACTACATTACAACACAACATTGTGGAAGAAGATTATCACCCCAGTAGAGCATACAGCCTCAACAAACTCAAAGTCATTCTGCCCTTTGCTGTTGTATGCAGCTCGCCCTAAGCTGTTAACTTTACTCTCTAATTCCCTTCTGTGTGTGTTTTTTGTTGTTTACTTTAATATCTGTGAAACTGGATTCCAGCTTAACCCTTTGGAGATGACGTGGCCAAAATATTGGCCTACCACAAAATGGCCACACAAAAAAGACGAATGGGTTGATCGGTCGGCTCTATGTAATACAAGCCTTAAGATTGGCTGGCAGGTTTTCTTACCAGCCAGTCAGATTGCTTTTCCCATTTCTTGCCTATGCGGGGTGTTCATTGACAGTTTTCGAGAAAGTTTGAGGTGTTCTGTAATTTTACATTGATTTTTGTGTGGGGTTACCTGTGCCCAACAATGGTGAAAAGGACTGTTGCGTCACTGCAACTGAAACTTAGCAGGAGGCACAACAAGGAGTAGAACCATGTGCTAGAAGCATCTAAAGGGCCTCCATGGGCCTTATTTTCCAAAACACAAGTGTTAGGACTTATTCAGGCTTCATTCATACAAAACATTATCCCACATTTTTCGGGTCAGTAATGTTTGTTCCCCTCCTGAAGGCTTCGTCTTTTTGACATTCTTCTTTTTCTTCACTTCTTCTTTTACCACTGTGGGTTTCGAGGGAGATATAAGGTTCTGTCTCTAGCTCTTCTGGCCGCCTCGACCATAGGCACATCATGCTGTTGTAGAGTTTTTCTGATGTTATCCTTCCATCTTGTTCTTGGTCTACCTCGTGCTCTACGTCCTTCTTTTCTTTCCATGTATGCTTTGTATTGTATGGTGTCACAAGGCATTCTCTCTAAGTGGGCAAACCATTTCACTTGCTGTCTTCGTATGTAATTTAGAATTGGTTATGTGCCGACTTTTTCTCTTATGATCTCATTCCTGATCTTATCTCTTATGGTCACTCCCACAGCCGTTCTCAGATATTGACATTGAAACTCCAAAAAGGCTCTGTCTCCAAAGGGTTGAAGACATTCTAATTATTCTCATATTTTCCTATTATGTGTCCTATCCAGTGTCAGCCTCATTTCTTCATCTCTTGATTCACTGGAATTTGTTTAGTTCTCTCCTATAGCTCCACATAGTGATCTTTCATAGTTTTATTCCCTCTGTTCAGCAAAAGTCCCAGGTAAAGAATGTTTGTAGTTTATTTGTAACCTATTTAGTTGTTCTCCATGTTTCAGCTGCATACAGCAGTACTGATTTACTCTATTGTTACCACACATGAATTCCTTTTTCTCTCACCTCTCAGGCAATGTCCAGCATTTGTGAGGACAAGCTGAAACTGTGGCACAGAAAGAATCACCAGAGAATTGCTTCATTGGACAGCCACATATGGTCACAGCACCGCCCCAGAGCTGTTTTGTCCTGACCTCCGTTTGTCACACTAGTTCTCTGTACTTGCTCTTAGAATGTTCACACATTTGGAAATAATTGTGTTATTTATTTGTAAATGTGAGGTTTTATTAATTGTAAATATTTTTTTGAACTGGATCTCATTGCAAAAAAAATCACAAAGCAGATATTAAAAAGTGGACTTCCTATGTGGATTCTGGCCCGGAAATGGTTAGGGGGGGGGGGGGGGGGGGTACTACCTCCTAACATGTTGTAAAAATGTAACTAATTAGGGTTTGTGAAAATCGGAGGTTGGGCTAAAAAGCAGCATCCTATCTGTAAACCACAATGCAGTGTTTCAACTCCTTTTCAGGGCAAACGCAGAAGCAGAAGAAGACAAATGGATGTGAAGTACGACAAAATAATCAGATATTAGGTCGTAAGTTTATAAAATAAGGTGACCACTTTCCTCCCACATTTATTTTCATTATCTGAAATTGCTGAATGGAAGAAGAAAACAATAAATAACTCCCTACCAGATTATTGACGATCAGTTTGGTGAAGCCCGTCTGTGCATTGTTTGAGGCCAAGAGAGGAGACATTATAATTAACTTCTTATGGAATCAGGTAGACGAGGTAACATAGGGTGGCTGCACTTCCATTTTTTGATATTTTAACATTCTGTAAGTGTATGAAACCATAAAGGGCACATTTGATCACTTTGAGATGTATCTTCTTAGCATTCACCGGCTGTAAACTCCAGCGGAAAGTTCTGGTTATTCATCCACTTCTGGATTTTGGTCTTGAACTAGAACTTTAGTTTTGTGTGCACATTCGTTTTACAGATCTGGCTTATTTGTTTGTAGATTGTTGGCTCATTGCCTCTCAAGCACATGTATTCTGACTTGGAAGGAATCACCCCTAATAAGTTGCCTCCTATGACATGCTTGTTGGAAAAGGGGGGGGGAGTGGATCTATTCTTTGTTCTAAAAATGGAGCACCACAACCCACATGGGGGGGGGGGGGGGGAAGAGCCTTGAATGACACTAGCCTTACATTTTCCATAGGCAAACTGACACTTGCTGTGTAGTTTGGTCAGTATCACATCAGCTGCTTGTATCATCAAGGACATTTCCTAGTGCCTATTTTGGGCTTGGTCAAACTAGGAGCCTAGGTCAATTTTTAAAGTCCTTGCCTAGATAGGGATTCAAACTTGCGACCTCCCTTCCTGTAGGCAGACATGCTACCCACTGAATTGTAAAGGGTCCCATAACATTCTGAATTGGTGTTTTAATTCCTTCAGCCTTCTTTTCTCTGTTTTTTCTCTTTGATCTCTCTGCCATTCTCTTCTTAGTCTAGCTTCCACCATTTTACTGTTGACAAATGATTCCATATTTTATCATAGACATACAGGAAAATATTTTATATTTTATAATTAGTAATAAGAAGATAAGTGTTTTAATACTGGTGGAAAGCTGTTAACATATTTTACATTTGTTAGAAGAATATTAAAACATTTTACAATGGTTGGATATCAACAACAAAAAATTGTTTACCTTGCTATGAAGATGTTAAAAACTGTTTACTCTTGGTAGAAGAATGTCACTGTTTGTAGAAGGATGTCACTTTTTGTAAAAGGATGTCACTGTTTGTGGAAGAACGTCACTGTTTGTAGAAGGACGTCACTGTTTGTAGAAGGATGTCACTGTTTGTGGAAGGATGTCACTGTTTGTAGAAGGATGTCACTGTTTGTAGAAGGATGTCACTGTTTGAAGAAGGATGTCACTTTGTGGAAGGATGTCACTGTTTGTAGAAGGATGTCACTGTTTGTAGAAGGATTTCACTGTTTGTAGAAGGATTTCACTGTTTGTAGAAGGATGTCACTGTTTGTAGAAGGATGTCACTGTTTGTAGAAAGATGTCAGTACTGTCTACTGTTGGCAGAAAGAGGTCAAGTATATTTTACTTTTAACAGAAATATGTCAAAAACATTTTAAAGTTCACAGAAGGATGTCAAAAATATTTTATTGTTGTCAGAATAATGTCAAAAATATTTTACTATTGTTTAAAGGGTGTCAAAAAATATTTTGCTGCTGACAGAGGGATGTCAAAAAAATATTTTACTTTTGGTAGAAGGATGTCGCATATAAACAATAGAATCGAGAAGAGTGACTTAATTTTGCTTGGTTTGTCCCATATGGCCTGATCTCTCTCCACAGAACAGCTAGAAACCTGAAATCATGAACTCCGTAGCTCCACGGATCACACCGGATCTTCATTATTATTACACTCATAAACCAAATGATTTGGAAAACGAACCTGCTACCCTCACAATGTGAGGAAAATGGCCTAACCACTTGGCCACAGAGCCAGAAATGTTTGTTGAGTGGTAGTAGAAATGTGCAGTTGCTTGCAGACTGATGTCAGAACTGGGCTGATGTTGGGAGAAATTTGCCTGACATGTTTAACGATTGCCAGAAAGGTGGTAAAGATATTTTACTGTTGGTTGAAAATGCTTAGAGATGTTTTATTTTTGGTAGGAAGTTTTCAAAAACGTTTCATATTGACATAAAATGTCAGAGAAATATTACTGTTGGTATAAAATACTAACACATTTCTATTCTTGGTATAAAATACTAAACATGTTTTACTGTTGGCTTAAAATACTAGAAATGTTTTACTGTTGGCTTAAAATACTAGAAATGTTTTACTGTTGGCAGAAAGTTGCCAGAAATGTTTATCTCTTCTTCTTCAGCCCTTGAATTTCATTGCTGCAGATATCACCCGCCTCCACTCATCTCTAAGGTTGGCCTTCTCTTTCCAGCTGGTGACACCATGTGTTTGTAAGTCTGTTTGGATATTATCTCTCCATTGTCTTTTTTGTCGGACTTGTGGTCTATGACTATTCAGCTCCCTGGCGTATACAGTTTTTACCTCTCTGTCATCTGACATTCTCTCAATATGCCCCAGCCATTTCAATCTATTAGCTCTCATGATGCCGATGATCAACGGTGATTTTAACAGATTATGAATTTCTTTGTTGCTTTTCACTCTCCATTCCCCGCTGTTTGCATCTTTGATGGGTCAAAAGATTCGTTGTAACACTCTGTTTTCGAAAATTTATAGTAAGATTTCATCTCTTTTAGTCGTGCTCCAAGTTTCAGAGCCATATAAAACGAACTGGTCTTATCAGCATTTTATATATTTTGATCTTGGTGTTGCAAAATGTTTATGACTGGTAAAAATGCAAGAAATGTGTTTCTCTAGACCAGTGGTTCTCAACCTTTCTAAAGTGGTGACCCTTTAATACAGTTCCCCGTGATGTGGCAACCCTTTAATACAGTTTCCCGTGATGTGGCGACCCTTTAATACAGTTTCTCATGTTGTGGGGACCCCCAGCCATCCAGTTATTTTCATTGCTACTTCATAACATCAATGAATATGTGTTTTCTGATGGTCTTTGGCGACCCCTGCAAAAGGGTCATTCGACCCACAAAAGGGTAGCGACCCATAGGTTGTGAACTGCTGCCCTAGACGGAGAGATTTCAAAAGCAGCCTGAAATGTTTTACTGTTTAGTAGAGAAATGCTTATACAGTTCACATAAATAGGCCATAAATGTTTTACTGTTCATAGTTGTTAGAAATATTCAACTGTAGACAGAAAGATATTAGAAATGTTTTACTGGAGACAGAAAGATGTTAGAAATATTTTACTGGAGACAGAAAGATGTAAGAAATATTTTACTTTAGGCAGAAAGATGTTAGAACAATTTTACTGTAGATTAAAACAAATGTTAGAAATATTTTACTGTAGGCAGAAAGATGTTAGAAATATGTTACTGTAGGCAGAAAGATGTTGAAAATATGTTACTGTAGGCAGAAAGATGTTGGAAATATTTTACTTTAAAGCAGTGGCTCTCAACCTTCCTAATGCCGCGACCCTTTAATACAGTTACCTCATGTTGTGGGGAACCTTTAATACAGTTCCCTTATGTTGTGGGGAACCTTTAATACAGTTCCCTTATGTTGTGGGGAACCTTTAATACAGTTACCTCATGTTGTGGTGACCCACAAACAATTTTTTCCTTCATAATTTCAATGATGATATGTTTTCTAATGGTCTTAGGCGACCCATGCAAAAGGGTCGTTCGACCCAAAAAAGAGTTGAGAACCGTTGCTTTAGGGAGAAAGATGTTAGAAATATTGTACTGAAGGTAAAATGGTGTTAGAAATATTTTACTGTAGACAGATGATGTTAGACACTCCCATAAGTGCTCCATCCCCATCTGAAGCAGCAAGCGAAGAGTTCCAATTCCCATGGTACTGTCTGATTGTATATCCATCTTGCCCTTTCCTTGAGTGTAGAGTATCGGCTAGATCCCCTGGTAACTCCCCGCTGCCCCATTCTCTTCAGATCGTAATGTTCTATTTGTGCATCCATGCTGTTTACTCGTTCCTAAAGGACCCTCACAACATTTAGCTTGTCGTACAATCAGTTCACAGCTAAGTGGTGAAGAACCGCCCAGTCTATCTGCCTCCTCATTTCCCAACACACTGGCATACCTGGAGAAAATACCCAAAGTATGCTAACTACCCTGGACCTCTGAAGTGCTGCTTGCCACTCGGCATGGAGCATGCCTGTCTCCAAATTTCTCAACATGCTCTGTGATTTAGTTACAATCACAGCATATATGTATAGCTGGTTTTCAAGCTAGCAGAAGGCAGCCGTGACTGCCTCAGCCTCCATTCTCAAACTAGATGTGATATCATATGCTAGACTTTGTTGCACTAAGCAATGTCCATTTGCTTTTCCTAGGAACCGCTATGCACTTAGTCTGCCCCTCAAAACAGGGCCATCTGTATAGATAATCATATCACCTGTGCAGGAATTATCATGAATCATTTGTTGAACTTCTGATTCTGCAGTTCCAGCTGGCCAGTCCCTGCACTAACAACCTAAAGTGATAAGAATCCTACACAAGTCTGAAACTTGCTTGGACACTTTGACCCACTCCTCTCCTCGCTCAAATTTATCAAG